GACTTTATTATTATATTCATTTCCCAATTTTCATCCATATTATAATAATCATATTATTATTATTTTGGATTTGAAATTTAAAATCCTATTTTAAAATTCAACTTTATTAATTTAGTAATTACTTTAATTACTAAAGTAATATCCAAAATGTAATTAATCAATCTTATTGATTAATATATTCCTTTAATTGACATCTAATCAAATTAGATATTTATCAATTAATTCTAACCATTAGAAATACAATCTTTACCTTTGTTCATAATTAGTGTGACCTTTTAGGTTCACTATTAATACTAGTAGTGGGTTTACAACACTTTGTAATTTGAGTTAAATCTTATTAACTCTTATTCAATAATTAACCCCTTAATTCATGAACCCACATATCATGGTAACACCTAGCAAGTATCATGAATCTAGTATTAAGTGAATAGCGAGTAAACCTATTCCGATTACAACTCCATACATGTAAAATCCTTTCGACATCTAATTTCCCGATTAAGTCTTGGGTATGATTTTGTCGAAACCCAAATTGACTTAATAACTATGATTCTATTTCATGTTTATTAACCCGGTTATGAATCACTATTCATCTCTGCCTTGGCCAAGGACTTTGGATTAATAACTATGAAACACATAGGAAATTCACTTATCTTCATAAGTGTCGAATCCTTTATTGGCCACTAACAAACTTCCATACATATTAACATAATACCCAACTTATCCCTTTAAACGATAGTGCTAGCTACCAAAAGGATAAATCAAAGTAGAATGTAATATGCACAAAGTTACCATTGTGCCTCAAGTCTTAGGATTAGTCATGTACTATTGTAACATGAAAATTCTTATTCGACTGAATAAATTCTTCATTAAGAATTTTCATACGGTCATGTTCAGTGAACTTGTTCTCTAACAAGCACCCACATAAATGTACTTACGTCTTACGCTAATGTTGATGGAATGCAACATTCTTGTCCAACAAGCATACAAACTATGTGCAAGTCTTTTATGGATTATTCGATATCCCATCTCGAAACATCCATCGACTTGGAACTGTATTTAAGATCACGGCTTTCAAGGTATGTTCCATGATCACCATCTCTATGCGCAACCATACCTTATAACCATAAGTGATCTAGGGATTTTATCTTAAGTGCAATTATAAGATAAATGCTTTCTCTTAAGATAAAGAAATGCCTTATTCATAATATAATTCCAATAGACTGTATTTACAAGTAGAATACGTCCAATTAGATTGGAACGCCGGGTACCCTACTCTAACACTTTCTCCACCCCAAACCCTAAATCGGAAATTGGGATCGCAGCCCCTTCCAAGAGAGCGCCAGAGGGCCATCGAAATGGAGATACCGGAGGAGGACCATCCACCCGCAACTCACTCCCGGCACCGGATGCGGAAGCCGGAAAGCAGGCTCGACCGTCTCCCCGGCGAAAAAGCTCCCCCTCCCCTGTGCGGCACTACTCTCGGAAACGGGCTGCGAGGCTCAGGAGAGCCACCACTGTGCACTCGCTGCGCCCTACTGGGGAAGGCGACAGATTACCGACGAAAACTTACTTGCATAAAAATTGTACAAAAATTAATGCAAATATGGGCAGGAAAATTCCAGCTGCTTCAGTTTAATATATATATATATATATATATATATATAAAGATACATGCATACTCATATGAGGTTAGTATATATCGGAACAAAATATTTTGTTACAACAGAGAGGTTATTTCTTAGAGATTATTATTATTATTATTTTTTTTTTAATAATAGGCAAATCCTTTCATATATATAGATTTTATTTCTTTTTTTCAGTCTTTTCTAATTGAATATCCATATACTTTTTGTAACTAAAAAGGTTTCATATGTTTTTATTTAATTTATTATCCATATTTTATGTATAATACAACAAATTGATTATCTGTTTTCACTCTTGGATTTAATATTCAATTTCTATGTATAAGTTTACATATAGTTATTTCTATATAATAAAAATTTAAGCATGACAAATGGGACAAAATTTAGATCCTAAAATAATGTATGAATGTGTACTGAATAATTTATTTGGCATAAAATAACGTAAAATATATTAAAATAAATGCAATCAATTACTTCAACCATCAAGTATATCTATACTTATATTAAAAAGTATACCATTTAACAGATTTAGTATAAAGAAAAGTCAACAACATTTATTGCATTACTATTTCCGTATTATACAATCTATACTTATATAAAAGGAGATTCTATTTACTATATTTACTATCCAGAAAAGTCAACTGCATTAAATGCTATTATATTTTGGTATTATAATATTTTATTTATTTAATTGATTTATTTATTTATTTTATTTTAAAAAAGTAAGTATAATAAAAAGATTTTAATAATAAAAAAATCAAATACCAAATAAAAATGTACACTTTGACTTATTTGATTATATTTGGTATTTGATTATACCAAATATATTCCTATTTAGTATATACATTAAATACTTACTAAAGTATTTATTTGTTTTATTTGTCAAAGTTAAGTATAGATTTGTTTATATTATCAAATCATAAAAAAAATATTAAATCCATATTGTAAAAAAAAAAATCATATAATTTTATAACAATTCTACTACACTATTTAACAATATTTCTTTTTTATTATATAATAAAATAATAATTAAATATTATATGGTGAACAACAATAAGTAAAACTGTTACTTTCTCTTATATCAAGGGATAAATTTATATGCTAAAATTAAATTTTTATTAGTATAAATGTTTTAGTGAGATAATATATTAATTATTTTACAAGCTAGCCCTAACATGCTCATATTTAATGTTTTAAAAGATGTAGAAAAAAAATTATAATAACTCTATTTTTTTTAGACTTAAACGTTGATTAAAAGAGGTAAAAATTCCTAATTTCTTACACTTAAACGTTGATTAACACCATAGATTGAGAGTTTATATTTAGTAAAATTCCTAATTGTAATAGAAAAATTAATTTTTGCTATATTTTAGAATATCTTTAATATCATTACAAAAAAAAAGAAAAAAAACTACAATGAAAAACGCAAGTCAGCTATATATCGATTTGTTGTACTCCTCAAATCACATTCATAATTTGGCTACAAGGAAAGGAAACTTATTGATTAAATATTATTTTGTCAGTAGTCTTAATGTACAAGAGACTTTAAGACTCCACTTGAATATTATATAACTTTTATTGAACATTGTACAATTTTCTTGCGTATTATAAACTTTTATTGAATATTGCATCTTATAATATAATATTCTCCAAATAAATATATCTCGTGCTTTGCACGGGTCACGTATTATATATATCCCGTACATTTTTATTTATTCATATATATAATTATAAGTCTGGATAAATAGCCTTAAAATTGTGCACCCCGTGCATCGCACGGGCTCTGTACTAGTATCATATTAAAAGTATACAGTCCATTCAATCCAACATGTGAAATAATATATAAAAAATAAAAGTAAATATATTTACAATATAATATTATAAATTTTAATGAATAAATTAATTAGTTATGATTTATGAAGTTCTATAAATGGAAAAATTTATGTTGTTTCAACATTAAAATAATAGGTACTACATCTATTTTAATTTGCTATCATTTTAGTGACTTGATTTTATTTACAAATTAATTTTGATTTAAAAAGTGCTACAAAAAATTTTCAACTTTAAAATTAGAAATGAAAAATGAATTAATAATAATTTATCGACTATTGTATTCGAAATTATTTTCTTTAAAATAATGAACAATACATCAATTTTAAACTGGTGTCGTATTAGAGACTTGATATTTTTACAAACTAAAATTTATTTTAAAAATATTATCAAATTTTCCAACTTTGACATTAAAATAAAAAAATTATAGTAATAAATTATTAATAAAAAAAGTGAGTAAAAGATTAAGTGGGAACATTATTAAACAATTCGATGACTTTGAAATAAAAAAATTAGAATGATATTTATTTTTAAAATGGATGATGTAGGCACAAAAATTATATTTTAAGCTATTATATATAAATTAATTTTAGATATTATTTTTAGATTAATTGATATTCACTCACCTTTTTAATTTATTCATTTGATTATTGCTATCCCGTGTATTGTACGGACTACATATTAGTTGCTTAAAGTAGTTGGTAAAATTTGGTACAACCAAATTAATTTATATGGAATAAGGAAAATAAACCAATTGAATTTTTATTGAATAAGAAAAATAAACAAAATCAAGGTAAAATATTATAAATGATTTATAATTATCTCGGATTTTTTATTGTGTAAGTGAATATTATATAAACACTTTGAATAAATCATCTAATATTTATCGACAAAGTTTCAACGGAAAAGTTATTTTATTCATTTCCCACCGTATCATTAGTTAACTCACCCAATTTATATCAAATTTCATTTTATTATGCCATGAAATAGAAAAAGGCTATATAAAATAAAAATATAGTAAGAAGCGGTACTAAATTAGTCCAAGCAAAAGCCTCAGAAGGAATTCAAACTTTACCCTTTTTTAAAATATATAGTAAAATTTATTTAGGATTTATATTCCCCTTTTCTATTTTCTGGTTAGATTTATTGTACAGATTTTACTATTATTATTATTTTTTTGGGTACAAAATCTGTATAGATTTTAATATTACTTACTCCAAATTCTTGAAATAACATGCCTCGGAAAAATTCAAACTTTACCTTTTCTGATACTTTTCCTAAAAACGGCCAGTTGGGGGCAAATTAGTCCAAGTAAACGTTGGCGATGTAACATAGGACAGTGGCTTTTCGCATTCTCTAGGTCCCGCATTCTCCACAGTTCTATTACATGCGGTTCTTTCAGTTTCCAACAGTTCAAATACAAAAAAACATTGGACCCAAATAATAAAATTCAAAGTCATTCCCAATGGCCAATAGCGATTTAACAATGAACCGCACGAACTGCACACAACTACATAGCCCTAGTCTTCTTGTGTACGCCTCCTCGTCTTCCTATATCTATATATGTATGTATACCCCACACATATTGTCTCACAGGGACTCTCATCACAGTTCCATTTTCCTCTGACACAATACTCATTTAGTGGGAGAAGTTCACCTAAAAAAATCGGAGATAATGTCGGGTAGAGGAGCAGGAGGTAGAGGGCGTGGTGGGAGGGGCCAGCCGCCGCCGACGCACCAGTCCGGCGGTCGCGGACAGCATATCTCACGCGGCGGCGGAGGCGGAGGCCGTGGTGGTGGTCGCGGCCCCCATGTTCAGCCCGGGCCATCGATGCCGGCTTCTGCGTCCCCTCAAGTTCAGCCTGCGCCATCGCGGCCGGCGCCGGCTGCTCCACACGTTCGGCCTGCGTCATCGCTGTCGGGGTCGGCTTCCCCTTACGAGCCGACTCCGGCGTCGCCGGCCGCCACACTTAGCGCCGAGGTGGCTCAGAAACTCACGGTTTCAGCGACTCCGACGCCAGTATCTTCAAAATCCTTGAGGCCTCCAGCGAGACCTGGCATAGGAAGGCTTGGAAAGAGCGTGATAGTGAAGGCCAATCACTTTCTGGTGTCTGTTGCAGATCGCGATCTAACCCATTACGATGTGAGTGCTGTTCAGGCACTTACCCTTCCGTATGTTTATGTGAATGTTTGTTGTTGGGTGTTTTAGTATACGATCTTGCCCTATGTACCAATAGGTGCATGAAACTATTGGTGACTTTACGCATCCATGTATTTTGTAAAGGGTATTCTCCTTCAACAGGGCAGGTGTTTCAGATGAATCATGTTTGTGGGTTCTATCATCTAACTGGGTGTTCTTTATTATCCTTTTACCCTTTTTGTGGGTTCTATCATCTAACTGGGTGTTCTTTATTATCCTTTTACATCATCCGGTTACTCCACTTTTCCGTTTTCCCTTTATTTATTCCTGGCATTGTTTTTTCATTTCTGACCCATTTTCAGTTTTTCCTTTTCGCCTTCATTTCATCTCTTTTCATGTTGTTATTATCTTTATTTATTTTATTTTCATGGGAAGGATGGTAGATATATGAACCCTTAAGTCTTAACCATGATATTGTTAAGATTATCTGCTACCACCACATGTGCAAATTGTAAGTGCTTGCTTTTGACGATTTTCATTTTTTTTTTCTTCTGTATTCCGCTCCGTGCGTGTATGTTTGTTTTGTAGATTTACTTTACCTTTAGGTATGCTTTATTGTTTTATGTACTTTTTGTGCGTCCTGCCCACATATTCTGCTCGGTAGATGTATTGCTTCGGTGCTGTATTTTTCTTGCAGTAGTTAGTCCAAGAAAACATAAAGTATTTTACCAATGACTTCAAGTAGTCCATTGTAGCACGTCAGCTGGGATTCTGTATGTAAAATGATGTAAACAAGAGGTTCAATCATTAAAGCGTGAAGTCTTCTAAACTGCCTACATATCCTTTATGTACTTACATTTGGGCATATATTTATTTTATGAATTGTGACATCTTATTGTTCTATCATTTGTTCTACTTCCAAAAGTTGGCCCTCATTGCTTTCCGTTCATTTTGTATTCTAAAACTCTTAACTAGGTGCCTGTTATGACTTATTTTATAAAATTTTGCTGTCCGAGGTATACTTGCATTTGATGGCAACAGTTGTTAACTCAGTTCCATCTTCTAATTGCGTTGTTACTTGATGTGCTGTTCTCGTGGACTGCAGACATACAACCTTTTTTATATTGAATCATTCCCTCCTTCTAGGTCTCTATATCTCCAGAGGTTTCCTCAAAACCAGTCTGCAGGAAGATTATGAATGAACTTGTTAACTCGTTCAAGTTGTCGCACTTGGGCAAGAAAACGCTTGCATATGACGGTAGAAAAAGCTGCTATGCTGCTGGGGAATTACCTTTTACTTCGAAGGACTTCGTAGTAAAACTTGTGGATAATGATGGTGGACCTAGGTGGGGCATTGTCATAAGTATGCTATAAAATATTTTTGATTGCTGTTGTGATGCTATTTTTTGTGTTAGTTGTATATTGTTGCATGATCAGGTAATTTCGGATTACTGGGGGTGGGGTATTCTGCTCTCTAGTTAGAAATATGAAATATGTTGGTTTTCTCGAAAAAAAAAAACATTCATTTCCCTTCTTTATGTTTGTTCGAGTGGTTTAGCTCTTTTAATCTTTTCTAGCATGAGGCTCCTTGTCTGGGTGATAAACAATAATGCAAAATGTTAATTTGCTGCAAGAGTTAAATGTAAAAAATTATGTGCCTCTAGCAGCTGATATGATTAAAAACTGATATGCTACTTACTTTGCAGGAGGGAGCGAGAATTCAAAGTGTCCCTCAAGTTGGCTTCTAAAGCTGACTTGCATCACCTGCACCAATTTATTCAGGGTAGACAACTTGATGTGCCACAGGAAACTCTTCAGTTTCTTGATGTCGTTCTTAGGCAGCACCCCTCGAACAGGTGCATTTTTTTTTTTTTTTTTTTTTCTGTTTCTTTGATATCTTACAAAATTGAGTGTTGCTTCCTTATCTTAATCTTCTTACTTCAGTTGTGAAGTTGTTGGAAGATCCTTCTTTTCTCGCAACCCGGAGGAACATGGGGAGCTAGGTAACGGTATCAATTACTGGAAAGGGTTCTACCAAAGTCTTCGTCCAACCCAAATGGGCCTTTCTTTGAATATTGGTATGCATTGTTTATATTTGGATTAATAGGCCCGGCTTTGTGATAGGTTATGACTTTTTGTTTGGACTCCGATTCTAGTATTACCTCACTATAATATTTATATTCACTAATTGGGCTTGTTACTGTTTTTATAGCATTCAGAGTTACATGTATGGAAAAGCTCTTATTGCATCTTCATGTTTATGTTGCAGATATGTCGGCACGTGCTTTTTATGAGAGCATTTTGGTTTCTGAATTTGTCTGCAAGTACTTGAGCAGAGATCTGACTAGGCCTCTCTCTGACCAAGATCGACTTAAGGTATCTTTAAGATTCTTTGTGACTTGAAATTTTTTCTAATTTCTTCACTTCTATTGATTGTCTCATAATGATGTAAAGAACATAATTTATTGCTATTACTGTTTGGTGTTTCCAAAACATTTCACTTGTTAATATATGCATTGTTCTATCTTTTGTCATCCCCCTTCTATGGCTAAAAGAATGTCTTTGTTTGTCAGGTTAAAAGGGCTCTCAAAGGTGTTCGGGTTGAAATGAACCATCAAGGTTCTATCAAACGACATAAGATTTCTGGCTTGTCGACGGAACCGACTAGACAGTTGATGTAAGCTTATTTTGCTTTTGTTAAATGTCGTTCCAGTAAGCTTCTTGGTCCTGTTGCAACACATGTTCTGATGTAGTTTATAGTTTTTTCTTAAATATGTATGGACTTTATACTTGGATTTGCTGGATAGTATCACTAAAGGTTCTGCATATTAGGTTACCATTTTCATTGAGATATTCCTTATTATTGGGTATATATGTTCTGTGTATTGTCTAGTCAGGTGGATTACTGTAGTTGTGTATTATCACATTTGCACATTACTATGTCGAGTTTTTCACGTGCCATCTTTCAGCAACCTTTTCCATTGGCTTCTAGATATTCTATCTCCTCTGTCTGCCTGGTGTTATTCAATATAGGCCTATTATAGACTATTAATTGATTATTCTTGAAGATTGATAATCTGATCTGATTAACCTCACTCTTGAAAACAGGTTTCACTTGGAAGAGGCAGGCACCGATGTATCTGTTGCTGATTACTACCGTCAGAAGTATAATATTGTTCTAAAGTATCCCTTTTTACCGGCTCTTCAGGCCGGCACTGGCCAAAGGTCTATCTATTTGCCCATGGAGGTATCACAATCACCTAACATGTTCTTTTGTTTTGTTCTCTGTGTTTGGTAGATTGTGTAGCTAAATTAATGTTTTGCGTACAGCTCTGCAAAATTGTTGATGGCCAGAGGTATTCCAAAAAATTAAATGAGAGACAAGTTACGGCCTTACTCAGAGCCACCTGTCAACGACCAAATGAAAGGGAGAAAAGCATAAACAAAGTAAGTTTTAAATTGGTTATGAGTATTATTTGCTTTTTATATGACATCCGTACGTTTCTCATTTATTTTTAGATTTGGTGATTCCTTTGTCCCTGCTGCTATTAATCTACAATTTGATTTCGTAGGTGGTTGTTGGCTCAAACAATTACAATAGTCAAGATCTTGTCACAGAGTTTGGTATAAACGTTGATACTTCCTTCACAACCATTGAGGCACGCGTTTTGCCTCCTCCCATGGTATGATTCTCTGACCTTTTTTTTTTTTTTCATATTTTTATTATGCATTAACATATGCTTTTGAGTTTTGCCTATTTCTCTTCCCAGCTTAAATACCATGAAACTGGACGCGAGAGTCGCATTGAGCCGAGAGTGGGACAGTGGAATATGATTGATAAGGTTTATATTATTTGGTTAGAAGTGTGTATCTATCTGCCTGTTTTGTGTGGTTCTTGTTCCCAATGTATAAGCTTTGCTTTGTCTGTGTAAATCATGAAAATTCCGAGGTTGAACCTTTCTTGTGTTTTTCCTGTAAAATACAATAAGTGAACTTTTTGTTTTTCCAGAAAATGATAAATGGTGCAAAGGTTGATTTTTGGACTTGCATAAGCTTCGCACGTTCTAATGTTGATGCCGGAAGATTTTGCCATGAGTTGATCAATATGTGTACCAGTAAAGGGATGGTATGTGCGTTATATATTTTTTTGGACTAAGAAAAACAGGGGCGACTGAACTACCTTGCAAAGTTTCTTCCTTCTAATATTTATCTTTCTTCTTTTGTTGTTGTTGGGGGGGATTGTTTCAGGCCTTTAACTCAAATCCTTTAGTTCCAATCCGCCAAGGACATTCTGGCCAGATCGAACGATCCCTTTCTGATCTTCATAACGACTCTAATTCTCGACTAGCAAGCATGGGTGCAACTGGGAGACAACTTCAGCTGCTCATTATAATCCTTCCCGATGTCAGTGGCTCCTATGGTAAAAGCTCTAAACCCCCTGTGAGTCTGGACTGCAAAGCAGATTGTAGATATATAATAACTGCCGATTTTTCTCATCTCTGTCCAGGTAAGATAAAGCGCGTTTGTGAAACTGAGCTTGGGATTGTGTCCCAATGTTGCCAGCCGAGACAGGCATCAAAATGCAACAAGCAATACTTGGAGAATGTTTCTTTGAAAATCAATGTGAAGGTATAAATAGTATTTCCCAAAGTTGATTTATATTGTTTTTTTGTTTTTTTCTCTCTTTTGATTTTTTAATGCTGCTTACTACCTCTTTTTTCTAATCATTTTTAATTTTTTTTTTATCTTGTGGTCAATCTTGAAATAGGTTGGAGGCCGAAACACTGTCCTGGAAGAGGCATTAAACAGAAGAATGCCTATAATTAGCGAGCGGCCGACAATTATTTTCGGTGCTGATGTAACCCATCCTCAGCCTGGGGAAGATTCTAGTCCTTCTATTGCTGCAGTATGTCTCTCTATTCCGTAATAAGTATTCTGTACCTTTGCTCTACAATGAATATGTCAAATGAGTTGAGATTTGTATGTAACCTGCAGGTTGTGGCCTCAATGGATTGGCCAGAAATCACCAAGTACAGGGGAATTGTTTCTGCACAGCCCCACCGTGAAGAAATTATTCACGATCTCTATAGTGAGAAACAGGATCCTGTGAAGGGTCTTGTTCGTGGGGGAATGATTCGGTTGGTGGCCTTAATATGACCCATAATGTGTAAGTTACCTGTGTGTTATATTCTGTGTGCTTTATTGGTATACTTGTTTCTTTTTCAGGGAACACTTGGTTGCCTTCTACAAGTCGACAGGGCAAAAGCCTCACCGCATCATATTTTACAGGTTAGTTGACTTGTGAGCCTATGAGTACTTGTGATTTTTAAAAGAAATAATGGTGTCTATTGATGATCAATTTTTCACATGGCAGGGATGGTGTAAGTGAAGGCCAGTTTAACCAAGTTCTGCTGTACGAGATGGATGCGATTAGGAAGGTCTGTTTCCTTATTGTTCTTTGTTATTCTTTTATTTTTTAATGGTTTGAATGTTTGTTGGGAGCAAATATTGTTTACATATAGAATCCTCCCTTTAAGGGTTCTTTTGTTTTAATTGTGAATGTGTTTGGTGGTGTGATCCTCAGGCATGCGCTTCTTTAGAAGAAACTTACATGCCGAGAGTCACTTTTGTGGTGGTGCAGAAGAGACATCACACCCGACTTTTTGCTTGTAATACTAGAGAGACTGACAGGAGTGGTAACATTTTGCCAGGTATGCAAAATCGAGTTTAGGGAACTTCCTTTTATTTATTCTTTATGCCACTTGTTCAAAGCGTGTTTCTTTTGATTTCTATCTCTGCAGCCATGCTGGAATTCAGGCAAGTCTCAGTGAATTAACCTTTTTTTTTTTCTTTTGCTGTATTACTCTTAATTTTTCTCTTTTTAGGACTTTCATGTGAATCTATTGATCTGAAATTATTTATTTTAAAATGTCAAATGCTGACAGGGCACTAGTCGCCCAGCACATTACCATGTGTTGTTTGATGAGAATGGGTTTAGTGCCGACATAATGCAAATGCTGACCAACCGCCTGTGCTACACGTGAGTGTTTTATATTCTCGAGTCCCTACTAGTCTTAATTCCTATCAAAACCCATATATATAAACACTCCATTTTCTCTTTATTTGTTTATTTTGTCCTCAGGTATGCAAGGTGCACTCGCTCGGTTTCCATAGGTAAGTATCGACAAATGCTTAACATATATTTCCGAAAATTAACCTAATCATTCGATTCCACTGGTTTTGCTTGTTTAGCTTACACTTTCTTCCATTTATATTATTTTTATATTTAGATCCAAATTCCTATTTTATCCTACATTGTTGTGGTGTTGTGCAGTGCCACCGGCATACTATGCCCATCTGGCAGCATTCAGAGCACGCTACTATATTGAGGGCAATGAGCTATCTGACAGTGGGTCGACCTCTGCTGGTGGTGGGGCCACCCGTGGCAGGACTGCCGAGGTTCGGCCTTTGCCTGTCATCAAAGATAATGTGAAGGATGTCATGTTCTATTGCTGAAATTTTCTCTTTATTTTGTCTGTCTTGCCTGAGATAACAGTACCACTGTTTTTTTAATTTTGGGAAATACTGATGATAATGGGTCGCACTTAACTCAGCCTATATCAATTTTTGGGATTTGATGGCTTTTGAATATTTTGGTGAATTTGGCTATAGTTAAGCCAAAATGATGGATATTGTTCTTATATTTGGTTTATCTTGGGTACATGCATCATCATTTTCCTTCCTCTTATACATTTTTTATCTTATTTATTGTTTTGTTAAAAAATTTTAAGCTTGTTGTGTTGTGTAGTACAGAAGATGAACCATTTATTGTTTTATGGAGAATATTTTAGCTTGATAACTTTTTTGTTTTAGTTTGTTGTCAAAGGTTATTTATTGACCAATTAATTAACCAGTGGAAACAATTTATTTTGCAAGGATATCATCCAACTTCTATAGGACGATAAAGAAATGACGACATTTCGCAGCTTGCTTTCCAATATCGCCAAGCTTGGTTTAGACTCTACAGGCCATGTTAAAAAATGATAAACATGCTTTTATTACACAATGTAGGATTTTTATAATAATAGTATCATATTGAAAGAGATTTTAACCAAAATTGGAGAAATTCAATAGTATCATAAGACTTGGGGAGAAAGTGATCGACGTCAGGAGGCATGACAGTTCTCTTTTAAGAAAATCTCTTCACATAGAAATGATATCTTTATGAAAGAGATTTTCATCAAAATTGGAGAGATTCAATATCATAAGACTGGGGGAGAAAGCAATTTATTCCATATAAATACAAGATATTACTATCAGCGCTTAATCACCCATACAACTTTACTGAATTTGAGGATTGGAGCAACAGCTGCTAACAATTAAAGGTAAGGAAACCAATTCAAGTGCACAGCTCTTTTCTTGTCGAGAGCAAAAAACGGCAAAATCGGTTTGAGTGNAAAAAAAAAAAAGAAAAAAAAAAACGCAAATATTGAGAAACTCCTCCGTTCAGACTTGATTGTCTCTTGTCTGCTCAGTTTCTTTTGGTCCTCTCGTGAACCCCTCAACGGTCTCATTCCCTCCCATTATAAATTATAATAAACCTAAATTATATAAATAAATAATATATAAATCGTCGCAAATTAGCAAAAGCCAAACAAATAACCTCTCTCTCGCTCACACACACAACACAGAATTGTTTTCTCTTTCGTCACCCAAAGCAATAAATGGGTGCCGGAAACCTAATATCGCCGCTGTCTCTGCTACTGTTCCCGCTCATCTCCGCCTTGGGATCGGCGGCGCCGCTGTGGTGCGTGGCGAAAAACAACGCGGAGGACGCCGCCCTGCAGCAGGCCCTCAATTGGGCGTGCGGGCAGGTCGACTGCGGGCCGATCCAGATAGGCCGGCCTTGCTACGTCGACTCCGACCTCCAGCATACGGCGTCGTACGCATTCAACGCCTACTACCTCACTCACGCCCTTTCCGATGACGCCTGTAATTTTGGGGGCAACGCTGCCCTTACCAACATCGACCCAAGTAAATCTTTACTTTTCTTTTCTGTTGTGGAAAAAATAAAAATTAAATAAAAATACATTGGGCGTTAATATAGATAGTACTCACCTTTTTCTTTTACTGTTACTGCCAGGTCACGGTAATTGCAGATTTCCATCCAGGTGAGGGTTTTTTTTCACTTCTCATTCAATATTAATCGATCAGTACTAAATTTGTTTGTTTATTTATCTTTAGGCTTTACTAAAATTAAGTTTTACTTGAGCAGCTCAAGCTCAAGCTCAGGTAATGGAAGCTTGAGTGGGGCAGTGCCAGCTGGAAGTGCAGATCTAAACGGCAGTAGTTGTAGTTCACGCGCTAGCCCTTGGGATTTGGTATTACTGGCAATTTTCGCCATCCTCATTCATTTTCTGACACGAACAAAATTTGCTGTTTTTTGTATGTAGCAAAACTAGCAGTAGTCTCGTCTCTACTTGCTTGCTTGTTAATTTTGATGAGTAAAAAACTCTTGCTTAGATGAACTGAATGATCTCTGCTGTTACTTTTAGTCAAGTACAAATTATATGCTTAATTTATTATGACTTGAGATGAGTATATAAATCAATATATGCATGTACATTATCAGATAAACCTTCATTTCTATAAATCATCAATATATATAATTTTGTTGTCTGTCATTTCTCGTCCAGCAATAATGACAAAAATGACTGTATTTTCATCTTCTGTTGCTAACCCAAAACCTTGGTTCCCACCGTATCCTATCAATTTTATCCAGTAAGAAAATAAACACCTTCAAAATATCAGTGCTCCAGCTATCTCAATTAAAAATAATTATTACATTTAATCACGGAGAGAGTAAATAAAAAGGACTTCCAAATTCGAAGATTGAGTGTTTTAAAGCTCCTTTCTGAAATACTAATGATTACCGAAAGACTAAACTAATCTCCTATATTTTGATTTACTTCAGGCTTGGGTTTCCTCATGATATGAGGAATGAAGTAGCTTTATTTTAGTCAATAATTAACCATGCTATAAAGGTCAGCTAAACAAGATAACGCTCAAACTAGATAACAAATCTCTAGAATTCCAATCTCGGCATATTCACATAAAAAGTTAAGACAAATGATTCCACATACCAAAAGTTTCGCACATTTTCTTTAACTATTGGATTGAAGTGCAATACACATGACGCCTAATTCATGATAAAAAAGAGAGGAATTTACATTTCTTACCACCAGTTATGATTTTTATTGGGGATTATTATTCACCGCCCCCCTATTACTATTTACCGTCCTCCTTGGACATTTTTGTCCCTGCCATTTTTTCTAAAAAGTAAAAAAAAAATAAAAAAATATTGTTGTCCGGCCGCCGAAACCGGACGGCCCAAATGGCGTCCGGCCCCGACGGCCGGTCGTGACTGGTCCGACCGGTCAGACCGGCCGGACACAATGNACATTAATAGAAAGTTTGACCAAATAAATATAATGTTTGACTTACTATTAATGGAAAGTTCAAAAAAACACATGTGAATCTTTAGTAACAAAATCTAAATTCTATTTTTTTTTGTAACAAATTTAGAGATTCTTATGGCAAAATTTGAATCCCATATTTTTCGTATCATGTTTTATTTTTTTTACCAAAATTTAAATCATATCTTTTTTGGTAACAAATTTGGAGATTCTTATACAAGAAATGTGTCAATTATTTATGAAAACAATTCTAAATACAAATTAATTTAAAAACCGTGCAAATTGGATACAAATTTAGGAAGCAAATAGTTGTATAATTCTTAACCAATTCTTCAAATCTTATGAATAATTTTTTCTTTCAAAAAAATTGTGTAAATTGGATAAAGCCACGCGCATTTTTTATTTTAAAATAAAACTGATATTTGGACGGGATGTACATTCAAAATTGTGTCCACGTTTTTTTGGTAACAAAAGCGGTTCATCATTGATATTTAAAGTCACCTTATTCAATTATTTAGGAAAAAATATGTGTAACTTTTCAAAATTTAAATGCATCGATTTTTTTTGGATTCTTATGTTTTTTCTTAACCATGTTTTACCGAGATTTTGGTAAGTTCATATCATTTTTTTTTGTTAAGCTCATATCATTTTCTTTAGGTAAGACAGTTGCATAAATATTAACAATTTATTTTAATTTTTATTAGAATTATTTTTAATTCAATTTGTTTGGTACAAAAATTGGTGCAGTGTTAGGAAAATTTGGTTGCAATTTTAGGAAAAAATGATGATTTTTTTTATTTGGTTTAAGAAAAATTCAGATCAATTTGTTTGATAAATCGGTTTATTGGTAGAAAAATCGGTTTCATTTCTGGGACTAACTAATGATTCTTTTCAATTTTTCTTAATTGAAATTTAGAATTAGATTTAAAATAAATAATGAGTGAAAATCTCTAAAAAAATTTACTTTTTTTTTCTACTTTAATTTTGTTCAATAAATAAGATCCTTTAATTTTTTTAAAATTTGTTAACTAAATAACTAATAATATGCAATTTTGGATAAATTCGAACACTATGTAGTATTTTACGTGCCAAATAATCAAACCAATAATGTTGTACATAAGGAAGTGTTTAATAACATATAAATTTCATTTTCATGAAACTTTTAATGGCATGAGACAATTTAAATACAAAAATATCTTTTAAAAAATATATATAATAATAAATGCTCCCGTGCATCGCACGGGCAATGTATTAGTTTTTATGAATTGGACGTTAGAATAAAAAAAACTCATTCAACTGAAGTTTAGCAAAACAAAAAAAAACCATTCAACTTAAAAATGAAAAAAAAAGTACCATTGATGCGATTTTCGATTGCTCTGTAACACGAACGAGCCTGTCTCTGCAATCGAAAATCGCATCAATGATAATTTTTTTTTTCATTTTTAATTCGTGTTACAGATCATTCAACTTAATGTTTTGCAATAAAAAAAACTCATTTAGAAACGTTACATTTTACATTAATAAAGTACAATGACAATTTTAAACTAATTTATTATATAATATCACTACTAATTGATTATAACAATAATAAAAAGAACCCAAATACTTTCATAACTAATTAATTATATAATCCCTCTAAATTATAAAATTATATTGTAGTTGAGGAGCGTCGTCTGTCTGTCCCTCTCCCGACAAACGGACGCATCTACACCCCGACTTCTAGTGTGTCGGGGGCCAGAACCTTGATAATATTCCTTAACCTCGTCGTCGTCAACCCTGACAGATTGTCTAGGTTTACTAACACCCTGAATCAAAAATATAAAATAATAATTAGTAAATATTTTTTTGCTAACAAATTACATATATATTTTTTAATATATTCTTTAACTATATATATATATATTTTAATAAATATATATATATATATAATTTTTTTAATACAACTAATTATTAATATATATATTTTTTAATATTTCTTTTATTTAACTTTTTTAAGTGAAATTAATTATTATTAAAAAGTGAAAATTTTTACCTATTTAAATAGTGATTAATTAATTTAATAATATTTCTTTTATATAACAAATTACGGTTTTTTTTGTTTTTTTTTAACTTTTTGAAAAAAAATGTCAGGGGCAAAATTGTCCAAAGGGGGCGGTAAGTAGTAATAGGGGGGGCGGTGAATAGTAAATGAGTTTTTATTATACTTATATGTCTCTTATATTTTCATTTATAAAATTGTCTAACTAAGTTAAAAATATTTCAATTTACCTCACATTGGAAGTAACCGTTATTCCTTTATTTAATGGTATGTTAAATGCTAATCAGATCCTTAATTGAAATTAAGAATCTCCTTTACCTAAATACAATATTTTTTCACGCACTTCACTCTTCCATCTCCAACCGCCGCTTCAAATCTGACTTCTCGCAAGTCGCCACCCCCAACCTCAACATCTTTTGCCGCTTTAGATTCGCTTGCAACAAGCAATATCGTTGGCCGCCATTACGATGTCGTCAACCACCGTCGAGGTAGGAACACCGCCATGATTGATGTCGTCAGCCGTCGTCGAGTTTCCTCACATGGCACGACTTGCTCTGAATTTTGGCGTTGCCCTCAAATGTTCAACACCTTGGGCATTTTTATTTATTTTTCCCACCATTTATCCTTATCTCCTGGCTGTTGATTTGAAAAATAAGTAGCATTACATATGGCTTTTGAAAAAAAAAAAAGAAAAGAAAAGAAAAGAAAAGAATGAGCCCTTATTTTGCATATTCGATTTTTTTCAATCGATTATTTTTTTTTAGGAAATCGAGTCAAATTTGGGAGTGGAGCTCGAGAAGGTGAAGAGGAGGATGTTCGCTGATGGGGAGATTTACTTCCAGTTGGAGGAGAGCGTGAGGGGCTGTGACGTTTACTTTTTTGTCGGAACTTAGATATCATATAAAGCTTAGCAAATTGCTCGTTATATGTTTCGGAATATGTAGCGTGTATAGTCCAGTATATGTACATCTTAGAGATGTGTACAGTTATTGTAGACCTTAGTTTATGTTTGGTATATTAGTTATGTACAAATTAGTTTGTGAATGAACTTTTTTTTTTCTGCTTCAATATATTCTGGTATATTAGAAGATTTTTTTTGTTCAAAACAACACATATATCATTAATAAAAAACTATCAATTCACGTACATTTTAATGAACGTTAAACCTTAAAAAAAAAAACAAGAAGACATAAAATTTTGACGAAAGGCATGTTTTTCATTGCAACATATACTGAATATATACTAACATAGATGCAACATATACCGACCTGGGCAGCCGCGTGAATTAGAAAACATATTTTTTTTTATGGAAGACATGTTTTTCATTGCAACATATACTGAATATATACTAACATAAACGCAAAATATACCCACCTGGACAACATATACTGAATATATACTAAGATAAACGCAATATATACCGGCCGCGTGAAGTAAGGAATTCCAGTTGCGCACATATACTGAATATATACTAACATAAACTCAATATATACCACCTGAGAGCTACGTGAATTAAGGAATTTCAGTTGCACACACATATACTGAATATATACTAACATAAACTCAATATATACCACTTGAGAGCTGCGTGAATTAAAGAATTCCAGATGCTTTAATTAAGGAATTAAATGAGTAAATCACGCCACCAAAGGATAACTGATATGGATAGAGGACGTTACAAAAGGTAACTGATATTTAGGCAATCACGTAAATAAAATAGCTTAATTAGGTGTATATTCTATTAATTGTTCTAGGAAGGTAAAATTGAAAATTCTTTTATTTCATGTAGTATGTGTAAAAATTTCCCTAAAAAAATGATAAGATATCTTAAGCACACAGGGAAAAAAAAAAAAGAAAAAAAAATTGTTTCTATAGCAATATGGTTTTGCTTGTAATTTCTAAAATAGTTCACAATTCTACTAGAGTAGTTTTCAACATTATAATCCAATTTGTATTTCTATTGCTTTTTAACAAATGACTTTTTCAATTCCATATACACTATTGAAAAAAAAATATTATTCACATTAAACTTTACTTTAATAAAAATCATTGTTGAGAGATTAAAGGGTGTGATTGAATATAGATTTGATTGGTCCCCCAGGACCCTCGGATAACCTGAGGACATTTGAGCGACTTAGAATGTATCGGACGACCTAAACAACTAAGGAGCTCATAGAGGTCGAGCTACGAAGAAACTGACGACCTGATCTACATTACCAACTGAGTTATTGGAGATAAGAAGGAATCTAATTATGACTAAAACATGATTAGGATAAGGGTAAGCACTAAGCAGATAAGATCAAATTTAGGTCAACTGGGCAGGCTGACCGCGGGCAGAAGAGTAGACTATTTCGGCAGATATTTTCCTATAAAAGGGACTAAGGTACGACCAAAACCAATTCTACACTCTCATACATTACACGCATCTCTTAATTACAAAGCACCTATCATCTTCTTCCCATGTACTAACTTGTGCATCAGAGTGCTAACGTCGGGAGTCCCTCCAAGCCCTTTGTAGGTCATTCTGAGCAACTCAGGCAGATCAGAGTTAAGATCCAGTCGATTCAACCTTAATTCGGGGTTCCGACACATCATTTAGGTAATTCCGAGTAGTTCAGGCAGATCGAAGTTCAAATCTAGTCGATTCAACCTTGACCCGAGTTCCGACACATCACTTATAATGTTGTATTTCTCCTCCATTTTTTAAAGAATACTATGTAGAAATAGCCTAATTTGCAAAACCATTGACAAGGGACCATAGACATTGCAGTTCACGTATAATTGTCAAATAATTATTTTTGGAAATTTCACTAATGAGAGACTAAAATTGCCTTTTGTTATTAATAAACAACCACATCTCTGTATTACTAAAGAGAAAGAAGTCTATAAATAGGCATATTAAATTTTTTTTCCCTAAATGTTTTTGCTTTATTTGATAAACTCTAAGTTTCATATTAAAAATCAAAGCTTTTGGCAAAAAAATACAACATTCTATAATTCCTATGGGTACATAAATTGAAATATACATGTGATAACGTCAAAATTACCATAAACTAGTTCTAAAATTAATTATTATAAATAAATTATAAATTATAAAATAATATAAAATAATTATTATGTATAACGGAGAGTTAGAGTTTGAAAATAAAGTTTTGGCTCTTACTGATTTATTATATATTTAAATATTGAGAAATATTTTTTCTTTGGTAAATTTAGTAATTAGGTAATTTATTTATCAATTTTTTACAATCTATATATTGTGAATGAGAAGACACTATTAATCTATTTCTATATCCATGAATTATTAAAGAAGGGAGCCTATAAATAACTTAAAAGGTTTTTGTATTCGTCTTGTGTATTACTAAATTAATTTGTATTTTGATTATAATTCAAACTTATCACTCATTTTATCAACTTTTGACATAAAAAAAGAACAAAATCAGTTTATAAATTTTTTAATTTAAAACTCATAGTGGGCATATAAAATAATAAAATTATTATTATTATTTTATTATTATTGTTATATTTTTTTTCATAATTATTTATATAGATTATATTAACATTAGAAAAATCAATTCTTTCATTTTAATTATACTGCAATTTTTTTATGTTCTGAATATACCATATCGATATATTTTTATTTTTAAATCGCAACTTTTTTTAGTTAAATGCTTTCAAAACTCAAAAGAAAATATATAATATTAGTTAGGATGAATGCATTTTAATTTTTTTAATTAAAACTATGAACTAATATATAAACTAAAAGAAAAAAATTGAAAGATATTTTATTTTGGCATTAGTTCGTTAGTTCGGACAAGCACCTGGAACCACAGAATAAAGGGGAGATCTTTACATATTTTATTTCCTTAATTAATCTTATTTTATATTCCGTGTATAAATTCATGTAGATCTTATTATGACTTTGGATAATATAGGAGATCGGACGTGAAGAGATAAAGAAGAGGAAGAGAAGAGCCGTGCGTGATGAGGAAATCAAAGAGAGAGAGTAGAAGATTCATTGCCAAAGATATGCTACTCTTTTGGAAGGAAATCTTGTTTGAAGTCCTTTGCCTTGTAGAAGACTCCAACCCTAAGGAGTTCATATATATACCCTGGAAGAAGCTTTGTGGGCGTGCGGGTTTTTAGAGAGATAATCTTCAGAACAATTCAAGCTTCGTTTTCTTTCTGTTCGAGTTGTATTCAGTTCAGTCTGAGAGTTCTTACATACTCGAGGACTGAAGCTACTTCTTATTCAGTTTTTATTCATTCATCAAAACTCTTTTACAGTTTATACACTTAGGGAGTAAGTGTTGTTTTATAAGTCCACGGGACGTGGCCGGAGAATTAGTTGATAGGATCTAGAGTAGTGTTGGCTAGATTTGAAGGGAGTTCAAGTCTTTGTAAGACCAAACTATGTTCATGAGTGATCTATCAATGAAAGAGCTCTGAGGGGAAGTGGGATGCTTCCCTGAAGAGTTTATTAATCTTCGGTTGATTGCTTCCGCATTTTACAATTATTGTTTTAGTTTGTAATATAATTAGCGCACTCCGTGACAAATATACGTTTCAATTGACACCAGAGCAGTGTTCCTGTTCTAACTACGGGATAAAGATCTTTGGGACTGTGTGTTGGTCACCATGAGTCACGATGGAATGTCTGTTTCGCGCCCTCCGTTCCTTGATGGAGCAAACTATGCTTATTGGAAATCCATGATGGTGATTTTTCTTCGTTCCCTTGGTAAAGGCACATGGCAGGCTGTTGAATCAGGATGGTCGATACCACTTATGCCAAAATCTCCTGCTGAAACTAAACAAGGTGAATCTTCGGATGCAGAGTCGTCTATTACTGCGACTCAAGTTCTTGTTGAAAAACCAAGAAGTCTTTGGACTGACGATGATAAACAAGCGGAAGAAGCGAACTTTCGTGCTCTGTATGCTATCATGTCTGCAGTAGATCCAACTCGTCATAAGATAATCATTCAGTGCACTACCGCTCAAGAAGCCTGGAGGATTTTGGAAAGACAATTTGAGGGTACAAATGCCGTAAAAACCTCAAAGCTGCAAAGAGTCTCCACCGAGCTAGATGAGATTCGCATGAGGGAGGATGAAACTATCGATATGTACTATGCTCGATTTTGCGACCTAGTTAATCAAAGTGCAATGCTTGGTGAACCGGTTCCAGAGGCTAGACAAGTACAGAAATTAATGAGAACTCTGCCGGATAGATTTGGAATCAAGATCACAGCACTTGAGAGTTTTCAGAGGATTCGGAAACTTGGCATTGACGATCTCCTCAGTGAACTTCGTACCTTCGAAATCAATCATGGTTTTGATTCTATGAGGATAAGCAAAGGGAAAGGCTTGGCATTAAAGGCCAAGGTTCGCACCTCAGTAGCTGAAGATGAAGAATCTGATGAGGAATCTTTTGATCCTGATGAAATCACCAAGGCACTTACTGTACTCACCAAAAATGTTTCGAAGCTGAAGAAATTTCAGAAAAAGAGGTTTCAGGGTAATAGGTCATTTGATGGTGGTAGGAACCAAATTCAGCAATTCGGAGAAAAGCGTTCTGGCTTGCAGCTAAACAAGTTTCAGAATTCTAATCAAGGAGTAGAGAAGGACCAGTGCCGTGAATGCAAAGGCTTTGGACATTTTCAAAAGGAATGTCCTAATTTCAAAAAGAAGAACAAGACATTCAAGGCTACGTGGTTTGATTCCAGTGACGATGAGGACAAAGAATCTGAAACGACTGAGAATTCTATCTACTCAAATAACTCTGCTAAATGTCTTCTTAATGAACATAACTGTTTTACTTCTTCTGTTCATCTAACTGATGTTGAATCTAATGCACGTTCTTATGCAAAAAACTTGAGCGAAGTGGACTCTGATGAAT